GCAGAACCGGCCAGACCGCTTTTATTGTTGTTTTACTGTTCGCAATTTAACTTGAAACGTTAAACTCGGGGTGAACAAACAATAATGATAATCGCACTCACAAAGTACGTGTCGATAGCAAGGTAATACGATCTTCCGATGGTATTATTAAGTCCTAGTACTCTTTGTCGCATCGCTGCTAATTCAAATATGACTGGACTGACAAGATCAAAATTTACTTTTATCAAAAAAAGCGTTTACATATATTATTTTTTATTTCCTGTTAGATAAGGAAAGTCTTTTGGGGTAATCCTTAAACAAGAACATTTTGCTGTTACTAATACTTAAATTAACAGCTGAACCGTTTAGATTAATAATTGACGCACAAAGAGATTTCCTATGCTTGGATTGTATTAAGAAATCACAGCAAAGTGATAATATAAGCTAGTAAACATAAGCGTACCTAATTAATTATGATTTAAAAAAATCTGATGAAGAATTTCAGGTTACTAATTGATGTCAAAAATGTATTGATCTTGTGACCAAAGATCTATACATTTCCAAGTACCTTGGGTAGCAAGTGTAGCTGATTGAAATATCAATAGATACCACCTCTTGCAAATAAATAGTTTTGTAAAAAGTACAATGGGTTAATGTATACAAATAATACACTTGTTCAACATAATCTTCTTAGTTTTCGAGTTTAAAGTCGGTTAAAAATAATCATTATTTTCTGACTGTATACATGATATTAAACCCTCAGGTTCTCCTTTGACGAAGGCTTCATCTAGTTTAGCCCATTGCTCTCTATTTCTGACTATTCGTCTCCATCCTTTAGATCAAGTTATCTCAAAATAGGATACGCGGGATGGAGTCATAATATGACAATAGGATGTTTGCAACAAGATTTACGTAATGGTGGCTCATCGACTTGACGATGACGAATAAAGTTGTCCAAAATTACTCCTAAAATTTACTGAACTAGGCACAAAAAATCAACCCTCCCATCACATTAATATTAAAGAGATGTTCGTTTTAACTCTGTATATTTTATTTTATAAAAACCTTCATATTCTAGGTTTTATTTGCTAACAATATTCATTATATTGAGTTCATCTAAAGATAATAGTAGTTATATGGACCTTTGTTATTGGAAAATAATAATTATGTATACAAATGGTGTAAACGATAAACTTTTAAAATATAGTTTGAACATAATTTCTTTGTAATCCGTTAATCTACCGGTGGTAAACGTTATTTTAATATAGTAATCAACTACTAACCTAACTGAATATCGAAAATTTACGACACCGAAAGCTGTCGAATCTAAAAACTGAGACCGTTAGGGCCGCTGACCTATATCTTCTAACCTGCAATGCAGCTACAGGGACGTATTGTATGGTTAAATTTCAGTTATTATTTGCGCTGAAAACCGGATTCTGTGAACCAGATAACGTTGACCTCATTTTATTGAACATCGATCGAATATGAAATAAATTTTAGTTTTTTTTTTCTTTAATAAATTTTAGTTTTGGTAGTAATTTTTTGTAGTAATTAGTAATTATTAGTAACACCCAGTTGTCAAAATCAAATAAATCATCTAAATAAATAGGTAGATAAGTAACCCGAATCCTACACATCAATTTATAGACAGTCTCTATACATGTGTTCCCTGGTTACGTCTCTGGCAATGACCGCTATATTACTTTAAGTTTATTATGAGAGAATTGCCACGAAAAACAAAATTGTGAGGTTATATCACATTGAACTATGATATCGTAAATACAAAATAGGGTATATGTTTTGCTTTAAAAAATAAAATTTTGAAATATGTTTTTCGTGTGTAGTTTGATTCAAATGACTATAAGAAAATAGAAAAAGTTTTCAATAGGCATTGTCATAGAATACTGAACATTTCTAAAATTACACCGTGTGGCTAAATTTATAACTTACAGAAAAGGATATATCATTAACAGCTTATTAATATCCCGACTACTGGGACACACCTCCTTACGGGTAGACTCGAATCCAATAGGGAGAGTAGGCCATGGCCCACCGGGGGCCAGTGGGGATTGGTCGGTGCAAAGCAGCAGGGATCAATGGCTTAACATTCCTTCCGAAGGACGGAGGAGTTCAATATACTACAACCACTGCATCATCAAGCGTCTCTATTGCCTTTATTTTTTTCTTAATTTTATATTTTTCTTAATATATTATGTATAATGAAATTCATAGTAAAATTTATGAACTAAAATTATAATAAACTAAAACCTATTATAGTTACTATAGATGTCTAAGTTTTCGGTTTTTCAAAATTCATTTGAATTCGAACACGAAAAACGTTTAACATCTTTAACTCTTTTAAAAAATTCAACAATTCGAACTAAAGATAACTTATTCGCTTAATAATTTGATGCGCTTTTCTCATGTTATTACTATACAGGTCCATTATTGAATTGCACTAGATATTCGATTTCGTCGTTAAATTCGACACCGTATCGCCGGTCTGAAGGATGGCGCCGTAAAATTGGTTTATACCAACACGTAGCTAATAAATTCCAACGTGCCAAAACACATATAACACGATACGAAACTTGCATTCCAGTGAAAATTATTTTATGTAAATAAATATCAATCTTGTATTCACACTGCTTCTTACATTAATCATACAAATACTTGAGATGTCTCTTTCCAGTTTTACTTTGAGGGATTTGTTACGTAACTAAAATTCAAAATCAGATTATTCACAGGAAATTATAAAAAATATGTTTTACAATAATTCAATATTTTTGCCGATTTTGGACTTCGGAGAATGTTTAATAAAAGCCGAGTGGTCCATCTATAGATTCCCGGGTCCGATTCCCGGTAGGGGTCAATGTAGAAAATTAACTGTTATATTGTCTCGGGTCTGGGTGTTGTGGTTTCTTCGTTGACTCAGAGTCCTTCGTAGTCCATAATAAGGGGGCTTTTTAGCTATTCATCTTGCAGTCTTAGCATGAATGTGATAATGTCTTATAAAAAAAAGTAAATGTTATACCTAAAAGTTCAACTGAAATATAAACTAACAAACAAACGTTCCTGATATCTCCTATGATATTTTAACTAATATTTTTGAGCATTTCGTGACATCAAAGTCAGTGTACGATTGAAAGTCTAGTGAATTTAAACTCAAACGTAAAAATAAATTTAATGGAGGTGCGAAATGTTATTTTTTTTGTGTCAATGTTATTATTTACTTGAAAAAAAAATCAAATATTTGAATATTTTAATAATTGACATGAAAACAAACGTTCAAAATTTCTTATATAACCTAATTTAAATTAATCCTTTTTATCATTATTAATTTCTATTAAAATTGAGTGAACTGCAATGGTAAGTGGTAAGTGTTTATTATTGCGTATTAATGTATTACCACAAACTACATAAATATTGAATATTTCCATAATATTACTATCATAAAGGATGAATATAACCATAACATTACTATCATAATTTAATATTATAGGTTCGTGGGAAATTCAAGCCTACATTTCAGAGCCATATTACCAAGTCACTGTATAGTCTTTGACTTGTTTTTGCTGAGTAAACTAAAGTTCGCGTATTCAAAACAGGAACACGACTATATATTCTTGTAAATTGATTTAAATCTCATATAAGAGCATGAAAGCTAACCATAACTATCTTTGTAAACACATAAAAAAATCTTAATTTATAAAAAAGACACGAAAAAAGAACAAAATTCACATTTATAAATAAATGAAATTAGTGATTCGATATCCAAATGTTTGTAATCTAGATTGCTCGTAATTGAACTAGAAATTTTTCGGGACTTGATTTGTTACATGTAATATACGCAGAATATAATGCAAATTTTATTCATTTAAAAATAAAATATTACTTCCTCTATTAAAGGTATAGATTACCAATTATAAATAGTCTTACTATTTCTTGGTTTATTTGTAAAATTCTAGGTAATGTAAAATATAAAATTCTCTGTAAATGTTACGTGGAAATGTTTTCTCGTATCCTGTTCCGTTCTGTGACCTAAAATACTAAGTTTTTGTGCACTCCAACTCTCTCGCTAAAAGGTGCATCACTCACTTTCAGTTAATGTTAATAAGGAAACGGGTAGAGTGCACGAAGTAATGGAACTAACATACTTAGTATATGACCGTGCATTTGGAGTAAGAAATTTTGAAGGATTAAAAACTAGGATAAATTAGTATTACAAGTAAGCACTTCATAAGGTTATAAATTCGTATGATTATTTTTTATGTCTGAGTATATGGTCAATAATATTTTCTTCAATGATGAACAGAGTTTAATGAATCTTTTCTTAAGAGTGCGCTAGTAGAACCCAATTTAAAAAAAAATTTTAGTATCGTTTATACTTAAAATCAGTTATTATGAAAATAGAAAACTATTTATGACACAAATAATTCATTTTTTCTTATAATCAGTTGTTGTGTCACCCCATAATAAGTTTTATTTATCACCCTAACTGGTCAACTAGCAGAAAATTATGTATAGTATTAAGACCACCCTTTATTGTATAGCAGTGACGATTAAATAAATAAATGAATTCATAACATTGGTTTTTAATACGGTACTTCTCCTTCTAAAATCACGCGGAAACGGATGTTACAGCAATCGATTAATGTTTATCATATTTTTTAAGATTTCTGAAAGAATTGTTAAAAAAATTAACAAATTATCGCATTTTATTTATCATTTAATAATATTTATTTTTATTAATAGGTTACTTTTATAAAACTACACCTTCGTAAATATATATAAAAAATAGTTTGACTTTGTTGTCCGGTTAATTTTATATTTTTTACTTAGACGCATACCGTTAAGTAAAAACAAGTTACGTCTAAGCTCTAAAAATACGCTCTTAGATAATAAATAAGCCAGGTCATTAACAGATGCCTAAGCAGAGCGATGAACATGTCATTGACTCGCAACTTAGTATAAAAACAAGTAATAAGGTACTTAACAGGTTATTTGTAAAAACTTACCTATATTAAATCGGGAAACTCGCAAATACTCGCAATCAATACATCAAAAGCATTTTCGATAACCGAATATCACGAAAAATTTTTATTATTCGAAGTGGATACAAAATTTTTGAATTAAGAAAAGCTGTTTTTTTTTTAATTTCACGTCGCGTATTTTGTTCGGAAACTGCGAACGCGCGCGCGAGCTTCGACGAGAAAAGGCGGGAATACACTGCGAGAAGCGGCAGCGGCAGCCTGCGCCAGTGCCCCCTCCGGCTATCACTCTACTTTCGGTTATTCTCTCGCCTCCCCTGAGACTCGAGCCGATTTATCACAGTACCGTATCTGTGTTCACTGCCAGACAAACCGTACTTAGTTTGTGGTGTGACTCAGAAATATACAAACACTAGAAAGCTCTATGGTTTGCAAAATAAATATAGAACATCACTGTCTGAGAATCTCCCACAAATAAATTGTTTTAATTCGATAGAGTTGAAGTTATAATGTTGCATCTGTGGTCAGCGTTAGAATGATAGTAATAACCAAAATCGTTGCAATATGATTTTTTGTATATCGGTAACTTGGTTTCGATTTGTGAAGGTTCATTGACCCTTCCATAATGCAGTTACAACGGTCCAGTGGACTCGTAACTTTAAGAGCGAGTGTCTTCAATTGTTTCTCTTGGCGCCTTTTCTGCAATTGGGGAAAGCGCCGCATAAAAATAATGAAACATTCATCACTAGATCCAACATTGTATTTTGCTTTTGCTATTAAAAAAATAAATAAGGCTCTGTTATGAATCTTTATGATTCTAAATAAAAGGGTTTTTATTAAAATGTATAAATACATTATAAAGTTTATTGATGAAACTCTTACAACGGTAAAATATTTATATGTCTAATCATGATACGACATTTATGTTTGAATGCATATCAAAGCTGAATTATAAGAGTAAAAGCGTGAGAATAAGCTTTATTATCACTGATAACAAGAAACAGAAACTGAGCAGTTCATATTCATTCCTTATGGGATTATCTTTTTTTTCTCATCACCATCATCGGCTCTTTGACGTCCCCACTGCAAGGGCTCGGGTTTTCCTTATGGATGGTTAAGAAGGATGAGCCATGACCCTCCACGCTAGCCCAATGCGGATTGGATGATATTAACTACTGCAAACGGCTTCATTTGGCTTCAATTTTTGGTCACCCATCCCTTGCGAAGGTTGCTTAACAACAACGATCGCAAGCCGCGGCGCTTATCCACTACGCCACTGAATTACTCTTCATCCTTTTTTTACTGACACTGAAAAACATAAACAATAGCAATAATCTAACAAAACAAAACATAGAACAAATATCTTGTCAGAATATATTCGTATAATTTCAATAACAAAAATTTTCCTGCAGTATATTTCTAACTACAAAATTTGGAAAGCAGTCAATGAACTAATCCGATATTTTATTTAATACTAAATTTTTTGTTACATATTATTACGCTTTTTATTTTAAAGTTCCCACGGGTAACACTATAGCGGAGCATGCTCATAATTAATCTATCTAATAATGTATTTATTTGAAGTACACTCCAGCGTTTCAGACTTTCTCGGTGAAACCCAAGGGCTTCCAAAATAAAATATATTTGTTAAAGGACAATATATACTTTTTATTCAACTAAATATCTAATATTATCCAGTATGTGCGTTCTATTATAGCTCGTCCAATATAGAAAATAAACTTTATTTTCTCTACTTTTGACATGTGAATGCTTTAGTGTCTAAGTGCTTTAGTACTTTAAATTTACAGCAAAGTTATGGAAGGTTATAGAGCAGCAACTGGCAGTATCACTAACCCAATCACTTTATCACACAATAAACAATAAAATAGGAGCAGAAATTGTCACTATACTGACTGGACCAAGACTACAAAGTGGACGTACAAATCTTCAATCGATACTAAGTATCCGATAATAGTAATAGAGCTTAAAATGTTTTAGTAGTAAAATCACTGCACTGCTTTGCTGCACTACACTGGTATACACGAGGTACGATATGTATATAAAAAAAAATAGGAGCATCATATGTTGCCTAATATTTATTTATGTTTTTTTTATTGCATTTGACGACTTAATTATTATTCAAATACTATTTTATCAGTCAAATGTTCAATAAGAACAGTATGAAATTAGATGACTCTGTAATAATAACACTCAATTCCATACTATTTAATACCCTGACTAAACTAAGTCTGTAATATGTGAAGGCTCTAATGACCACCATTAAAATAACTAATAAGTACATTCATTAAGAAACCATTCAATATAAAATCCTTACAAGGGACTTAATTCAAACATAGCACTATAGTCAAGTGCCACCTTAAAGGAGCTGTCGGAAGAAAGTAAATTTCTCGCATACGACCAACCTGAATACATTAATAACCAGCGTTTATTTGTATGGACGTCGCGGTCTCTACGGCTTTAACGTGCTTGAGGGAACAATCGTAAGTGCTTAGTCATTATTGATAATGAGGAGTGCATCGACCTAAGGAAATCTCGTCCTTAAAGGACCTCTGTGGAGACGTAACATTATGTACTTACATACGTACATGTACTATTTACTAATACATAATAAAAAACAAAGTCGCTTTCCGTTTGTCTATCCGTATGTATGCTTAGATCTTTAAAAGCACGCATGTATTTTTAAAAATTCAAAAGGATTTTTTTTATGTACAATACAAGATCACGTGTGGTCAAAGCCGCTGGCGGCAAGCTAGTTTATATATATAACAATCAAAACAGACGAACAACCGTACTAACTCGAGAACAGCTAAGCTGATTTAGGCTTTGAAACGTTTGTCGTAGTCCAGGGAAGGTTTAAACCAAGGAAGATTTGAACTATACATAGGCACAAATAAATAAAATTCAGTGTCTGTTTGTAATATAAAAAAAAACTCTTTTCACTAAATACATACATGTATGTATACACGGTACATATACAAAAACGTTTTAAGTTTTTTATCTGTCTATCTGCCTGTTTGTTCCAACTAATTTCTGAAATGGCTGGGCCAATTTTGACTGGACTTTCACTGGTTATTTTCCATGCGGATGAAGCCGCAGGTACAGCTAGTCCATCAAAAAAAACAACCAAATTTGTATAGTTTTATTTTTTTACTGGAGAACACTCTGTCTGAGTTATGCTGCAATATAACAACTGTTTGAAAATGAACCCAGACTGCATCACTAATAAATAAAACAATTCGCTTGAACGATAATTTAATGCAAGATACGGCAACTGAATTCTGCAGATACCCGTGGATCCCAAAACAAGAAATAGCTTTCAACGTCTTTGGAAAACAACGCAAATTTCGAAACTTCATTACTACTTATTATGTTTCGTACATTTTTAACAGACCGTACCTATCACAAAAAATATAATGAAAAGTGACTGATTCCATTTTATTTTGTATACCTACTCAAATACAGACAACAAAAAATCTTTTCTTATTCATCTATAATGCTTCCACCAGAAAAATTCTACTAATGTTAGCTTAATTATGGAAAGTCAAAAGCGCTTTCCCTACAACTATACTACAATAATTTATGACACCGTTTATGTTACTGGATCACGAAATTGATTTGTCAAGAAAACATTACACTTTTAATTATCATATTTTAGATAGTACAATAGCGAAATAAAGTAGTTAATTGTGCGATTATTACATAAACATTGACAGACTAGGCTAATTGGGTTTTGTTGAATATGCGTTACTAATATAACATTAACAGCTGATTTAATAATATAAGAATAAAAATTAAAAAATACCACCGCTAAATCGAAATAGTAAAAAAACTAGCTGTAGGAGGGACTTCTTAAATTACAAATGTACCACAGAACAGTCACCCGACTGCAATAAAAATTTCGTTTAGCCAAATCATAATACAACTTGTTTCTATTATTTTTAGTTTGATTTTGGCAGCCGTGATTTTTTATTTATTAATTTTTATTTTATTTAACAATAAATATATACAAAGTATATAATTAGTTTTGAAATGTAATCAATAACTTTAGTGTGCGTTTGTTTTAAAAAATATCCATCCAATTATACCAACTTGAAGAAATGTTACTTTTTATATGTTTTGAATTATTTCAAAAGTTATACTGGAATAAAGAAACTCGCATACATATTAACCCTAAACACAATACACTAATATTTTTGGGCAGTCGTGTAAAAATTACACGATGTTTATGTCCAGATTACGGTAATCACGAATCTCTTTCTTTCAGAGACAGATGAAACTGTAATCTGCGAAGCTAAGGCAAGGTAATTTTGTACGCTCTGTTATGCAAGCCACGTCTCTGGTAAATATATGTAAATGAGACGCTTCGCATCCTAGCCGGGCAGAGCCTCTGTAATTCACTGATTTATTGGTCCAGGTACCGTGCCCTGTATTTGATTGAGTGGATAGTGATTCTGAAATACTTTACTATGAATTATGACCTACCCTATTGGCACTGAAGTTGTGTAAATTTTTGAATAAATGTTTAAGGTTTGTAACTGAAACATAATTCAAACAAATGTTACTGAAGGGAAGGGAAGAGTTTTGATATCATACTTGTTTAGATATATTGTCAACTAACTTTTTCCAGCGGCTTCGCCCGCGTGGTCTTGTATTATATATAAAAACCTTCCTTTTGAATCACCATATCTATGCAACCGCATCAAAATCCGTTGCATAGTTATAAAGATTTAAGCTAAGCATTCATTATGATATAGGGACAGAGAAAGCTATTTTTTTTTATACTATGTAGTGAAGCGCCTATACCCAAAAAATATATGCAACTCTTAATCCCGTAAGTTCTAAAAGCTCGCTAAATCTGTATCAAAACTGCCAGTGTAAGAAAAACATCTATTTTGTCGCATTTGAAAATTAAAGTTTGCGCGTTTAAAATGTATAGAATTACGAACAAAGAATTTAAGAATTAAAAACATTACGTACCATCGGTAAGTAAACTTCAAATGTCCAATTAGGTGAAATAATATTTCAAATAACAAATTATAATTTTGCCTTATGATATGGCACTTTGGAACCCACGGCTCTGGATACTAGTCCTTTTAAGCCTTACATAGTTTTTTGACAGAATACAAGACAAAATTCGTTCATTGTTCTTTCTTCTCACTCAGATATTTTTGACAGTGTTGACAACAAACTTGAATAACGGTTTAAAGTATTTGTAG